GTAATATTAAAATTAGTTTGATGATCTGAATCTTTTAAGTGACAAATATGCAAAAAAAAATTAAAAAAACAGGAAGGGGGCAAAAACCTTTTCACAGCACTGTATATATATTTGTTTGGTTTTGGTTAGTTGACTGAGAGGAAAAACTCACCGACCAATCAGATTCAGGCCTTTCCTTTCCGTAGCCAATCCCGCCTCTCCTCCACACTTGGTGGCGCTGAAGCACTAAATCCCGCACTAGTTCGTTAGAACGAGAAGAAGAATGGTAGTCAAGATGGACGCGGAGCTGTTGTTGTTTTTGGTTTCTGAGAACAAGGAGTTATTTGATAAAAACCACAGCGAGTACAAAAACACAAAGCGGAAAGAAGTTCTCTGGCAAGGAATAGCAGACAAAATGGGAGTCGGTGGTGAGTTTTATTGGTGTCGCTTGTTGTGTAGGGTTACCGTAAGCGCGCCTCACCACCACCATCATCAACGTGTGTGTATTTGTGTTAGTGGAAGAAGTCAAAGCTAAATGGAAAAATCTAAGAGACACATACACCAGGAAAAAGCGACTGGAGCAGGACGGGAATCGGAGTGGAAGGGCAGCTAAAAAAAAAGCAATGGAAATATATGCGAGTGATGGACTTTCTCGATTCCTCCACAGAACACAGAAGGTATTCGAGTGTGTTTAATTTAAGCCTGATGTATATCAAATTATGTATTTCACTGCCTTTTGAGATATTTCTATAAGTAATGTTCGAAATAGCATATTACCATACTACTAAACTTTTTATGAAATTTCTCAATGCAGTGCACACTTAAATCCAAAGGACTCGAGCTCCCATTTCTAGTGTGATATCTTGTTCTAGTTTATTATTTGATTGGGCAGGCAAGTATACCGACATTTTCGTATAAAATTGGACTCTGTTAATAAATAAATTACATTTTTATTTTTGGTGAAGACAACCGCTGCAGGGAGAATTAAACACAATATAGCGTACTAATATTTGAAATACTTAGCATTGCATAATGCATACTTCCACATTCTTGTTTTATAGCAATACTACTCTTACACTCCGTACTGCAAAGTATGCTAGTATACACAACTGTCACATTGCTTAACTGTAATAAAAGCATGAATTCCATGTTTTATAGTGTGCCCTATTAGATATTTTAAAAGGAGTAGTTCTCCCAAAAATGAAAATCTCAGGCCATGCAAGATGTAGATGAGTTGGTTCTTCATTGAAACAGATTTAGACAAATTTAGCATTACATAAATTGCTTATCAATGGATCCTCTGTAGTAAATGAGTGCTGTCAAAATGAGAGTCCAAACAGCTGATAAAAGCATCCGAATAATCCACAAATAATCGGCGCGACTCCAGTCAATAAGTTAAAGCCTCGTGAAGTATAAATCTGTGTATTTGTAGTAAATCCATTAAAGGGACAGTTCACCCAAAAATGAAAATTCTGTCATTAATTACTCACCCTCATGTCGTTCCAAACCCGTAAGACCTTCGTTCATCTTCGGAACACAAATTAAGATATTTTTGATGCATTCTGACAGCTCTCTGACCCTCCCATAGACAGCAAGGGTACTACCACGATCAACGTCCAGAAACGTAGCAAGGACATCTGTAAAATAATCCATGTGACATCAGTGGTTCAACTGTAATTTTACGAAGCTACTAGAATACTTTTTGTGTGCAAAGAAAACAAAAATAACCACTTTATTCGACAATTCACTTTTTTCGTTCAGATCAAAACGTAGACAACGTATCCGCGTGACGCAGCTGACACAGAACAGCATACGTTGTTTACGTTCAGTGGATACTCTCCAAAATGGCGCCAGGGTGACGCCGAGGAGACGAATTGAGTCGATATTTTTGTTTTCTTTGCGCACAAAAAGCATTCTCGTAGCTTCGTAAAATTACAGTGAAACAACTGATGTCACATGGATTATTTTACCGATGTCCTTGCTACGTTTCTGGACGTTGATCGTGGTAGTACCCTTGCTGTCTATGGGAGGGTCAGAGAGCTGTCAGAATGCATCAAAAATATCTTAATTTGTGTTCCGAAGATGAACGGAGGTCTTACGGGTTTGGAACGACATGAGGGTGAGTAATTAATGACAGAATTTTCATTTTTGAGTGAACTATCCCTTTAAGGCATTTTAATATTTAAACTCACTCCTGTTCAAAATATCAGTACATAACACTTCATCCAGCGAAAAAGTCAATTCCCTGTTGTCCTCTCACATCAAAATCCACTTGCATGTTTGTTAGAACTGTTCTGGACTGTTTTCACTTGTAAACCATGCTTGATCTGTGATTTCTCTTCTGATTCAGACAAGGTGACTGAGACAAGAAAGCAATGTTATGGATAGAGGACTCATTTTAGCAGGAAGCACTGGTTTCAAGTTTAAAAACAATGGATTTATTTCTTACAAACAAGCAGCTTTTTGCTTCACAAGTCATTAATTGATGGACTGGAGTCGTGTGGATTACTGTGATGTTTTTATCAGCTGTTTGGACTCTCATTCTGACGGCACCCATTCACTGCAGATGATCCAAGTGATGCAATGCTAATTTTTTCCAAATCTCTTCTGATGAAGAAACGTATCTACATCTTGTATGGCCTGAGAGTGAGTACATTTCCAACAGATTTTCATTTCTGGATGAACTATTCCTTTAACCCAAGACATTTTGTGTAGAACAACTCGATGATCTTGACCATGTATGAAAATTAAAATCAGTCATTAAAAACAAAGTGCTTACGTGAACAGATTTTCATCGAATAAACGTGAGTTTAATCACACCCACACCAGTTCCTTTACACCCTTTTGTGGTATACCAATAAATATGAAAAAAATGGTCTGATTAATCTTTTATTAAATTAATCAGGTAACATCATTTAGTCTTTTCGTAGCATAGTGGGAAACTACCATTTCATTTTATATACATTTTAGCAATAGTTTGTATTATTTCTCTGTACTGTAAGCATATAGAAGCTACTGGTTATTCACAATGGTGTTTATTGGTGTACAGTGTTATATTGGACAGTGTTCCCAACCAAATTGAGGATGATGAGCCAGACGAAGACAGCGGGCGCGAACCAGCCAGCACCAGTACAGGAACATCCATGAAAAGTCCAGTAAAGAGAAGGCGATCAGAGACACTAGAGCTGTTGGAGAGGTTTCTGGCATCTAAAGATGTAAGAGACAGAGAGAAAGACGAACAGCAAGATGAAGTGGATTTATTTCTTCGGAGTTTAGCACCTGCATTAAGACGCTTACCTGCTTCAAAGCAGTCCTTGGTGAAGCTTCAGATCCAAAAAATACTTCACGACGCAGAGTTCGGACAGCCCAGCTTTCCCCAGATATCCTCAGTGTCGCCAAGTAATCAGTTGTTAGTTGTAAAACCCAGTTGAAATGCTTTTTTATTGAAAATAAATGTGACTTTAAAAGAAGTGACTGTGCTGAGTGTTGAGTATAAACCACAACTTGCATATTGATCGAAACCAGTTTATTAATTCAGAAGATCATGAATGATAATACATGAAACAGTAAGGAAACAGGAGAACATATATACAAAACACTTCAAATCTTCTATTTGCATTTGATCCACAAGCTGGTCTAAACAAGAGCACATGAAGCAGATTCACACTAAACCACTGTAATAAATGCACAAGAGTGTGTGTCACCTGTTATTAGTCATGATATGCATCCTTAAACAGGTGTTTTATGCCTAAGAAAGGTCAGTATCCATTATAAAGCATTCGTTTGATTACTATTTACAAGATGAATTCTATAACATTTTGAAGGAATAGCCCAGTCTGGTGAATCGGTCTACTTTTTCTTGTCCTTCTTTCCTGCTGCTGGTTTCTTGCAATATTTCGCCTCCAGATCTGAGATAAGGGAGTTGAATCCTTTTTCTTTGGACTTTTGTCTTTGCTAAATAATAAACAAGAGGCATAAAAAGAAAAGTAATGCTTTTTTTTTAGCGGTTGTGACTTGAATGCATCTGATAAAAGCAGAAATAATAACCCAAATAAAATGTATTATGCAACAACATTTATGGTAAGCATTTTCCACATCTGAATGAGATGAGTCTGGCCCACTGATCTATATATAATGACTCTATTATAGATCAGTGGTCTGGCCCCTTTTATTTAAGAAAATACATAACTTTTAGTTATTAAAACACATTAGTTGCCTTTATAGTATGCAACTTATGGTTATATACTGATTTCTAATGACTAGAGGTTAATGTAGGTCACCTGTCATTTCATGTACTGTGAATCTGTAATAACTCAGAAAACTAATCCCATCCAAACAGTTTTTGGTTTTTCAAGGTCAGATTTTAATACTTATATTAACTAAAGATGCATTAAATTGATCAAAAGTGCCAGTAAAGCCATTTATAAAGTTACAAAATATTTCTATTTCAAATAAATGCCTGGAGTAATGGCTGCTGAAAATGTAGCTTTGCCATCACAGGAATAAATTACATTTGAAAATATTTTCAAATGCAACACACATTTGGCAGATTAATACAAGCTTTGTTACATCTTAACGTTTTTTTACCTTTATCATAGCTACCAGGCTGTCCTCACTGTCCAAGCCCATCTCCTTCTGCATTTCCTCTGCCTCCTTACTCTCTTTTTCCGCCTAGAAAGTCAGGGCAATTCATCAAAAAGGCTTGAACCCTATTTAAACGTGTTATATCATAGCAAAACTGTGGAAAATGAATCGGCACCTTTCTTTTACGGTTCTTCTTCTTCTTGGCACTCTCATGAGTGAAGGCTTTGTAGGCCGGCACCTCTTCAGCATCGATGGCTTTCTGAAGTATGTCTTTGACACGTGGCTCATCTTCATAAGTACAGCACAGCGCAGACTCCATGATCAGATCCATGTCACCTTCAAGTTGTAGGTACAGTCTCTTCAAGTCTTCTACCTCTTCATCAGAGCCTTTATACTGCTTCTCAAAGTCCAAGATGTCTTGCAATGTGATCTAAAGCGGAGATGTTGTTAATTTTAGCTACTACCTTTGGAAAAACCAACATTTAACAAAAAAAGACATGGTACAAAAAATACCTTGGGAAACAATCTTCTCCAGTGCTCCTCCCAATTGCGGTCTTGATCAAGGGTGTCTGACTCTTCGTCCACTATTCCCTGTTCATCATAGACTGCCCTCTGGTCCTTGTCAGCCAACACTGCATAAGACTTTCCCAGCACCTGAGGACATATTGAAAGTTTTATGTTTAAGAATGCATTTATGTATTAGATTTTTTTTATTTAATGATTAAATCATTTTTAACCCTCTGGTAATCCTAGGTCACTTCTGCTGTGTGCACTTTCGCACTGGCTGTGTGAACACACAAAAGTGGCTTTTAAAAAGTCACTTTTACTCCCTGTGGTCTGCTATTGGAAATTAATGGGAAATATAAAAACACAGAACTTCTCTAGTGGTTACACCAGGGGTGTCAATCTCAGTTCCTGGAGGGCCACAGCCCTGCACAGTTTAGTTGCAACCCTAATTAAACACACCTGATCCAGCTAATCATTAAGGCTTATTTGAAAACTACATGGTATGTGTGTTGGAGCAGGGTTGGAACTAAACTATGCAGGTCTGCGGCCCTCCAGGAACTGAGTTTTGACACTCCTGGGTTACACCATCGAATTATGAATGTATTTTTTCCTGCCACCAGATGGCTCTAATTTGCCTCTTTGCAATGAGAAAAAAAAATCTAAAATGTTTCATTTTTAACCTTAAAAACTGTTCATTAAAAAAAAAAGATTACATGGAAATAAATAGTAAACAATTATTGCATAAATATGTAGTTGTATTAAACCCCCTCAATAAACTAAATTTTACTTTTAAAATATTATTTAGCTAAAATATAGAATATTTCTCAATAGCAACCTGTGTTTGTGTTGCTTCAAGAGAGCAACCATACATTTTTTTTTTTTGGTGATCATTTAATCTAATGACTTACTAGTTATTTTTAGTAAATTACTAATTATTTTACATGCCCCGTGGTGCTTGTTGTTTAATCTTAGTATTAGTAAAGAGATAAGTTCATCCGAGTAAGATATAAGAGAATTTCTCCATTTCTACTTGAATTTGAAATGACAATGTGGTGAAGCAATCATTTTCCATTGCTATTGCTTTGGTATAGTAACATTTGCTGGATTTGTACTGGCCAGATGAAGTCCAGTCTGGACAAACATATGCAGCTCGGATTAATCAATAAACCCTGCAGTTATTATAATCATTGCTCAGTCTTCTGCTGTCAGTTCTTCTTTGGCTTCCTTTATCAACCTCTCAGGCTGATAGAAGGTACAATTGTGGGTACCAGACATAATACTGTTTCTGATTGAATCCGGGTATCAGTCAAGACTTGATACCTAAAACCAAAATGCATTCTGGTCTTAGGACAACCTTGATGAACATTTGATCCACTTCAAATGTTGACTACTGTAGCTTTGGATACCAGACAAAATGGGATCTGGTAAAGAGACTGGCTCCAATATTCCTGGTATGCAGATCCAACCTAACAAGGTGTTCAGTCACTTTTTTTACTGCTTAGTACAAATGTAACCCGTAAGTTATATGTACTAGGGAGGTTAAAACTAACTGATTTTGTGGATCACGATTAAAGGGCTTCCTACAACTTGAACTTAGACCTTTCAGCATTAGACAACACCGGACCATTCAAGAAGGTTCTGAAAGATGCAGTGCTGCATTAGAAATACAGTGGTCACCTGGAACTTGGTGGTGGCTAGCTCATCACCAGGAGCTCTATCTGGATGAACCTGCAGAGAGACTTTATAATATCCGCGTCTGATCTCGGAGTCAGATGCTTCTTTACAAACACCCAGAACTTCATACAGGTTAGAGGTCTTGAAGAGCTCCTCACACTGCTCCAGTAAACCCATGACTGCGTGAGGGAGAGAAAAAAAACACCAAACCATCGATTCATATATTAATTAAAACAACATGTAAAACAATGTTCGTCAAAACTGTTTTTATATGAACGCTAAACATTAAAAATGGACTGCATTTGTTTCTGGCTTTCATAAAAAAAACTAACTTTAAGATAAAGCTTACATGTTTCGAATACAGACATAAACAAACACTCGTACGTCTAACGTACTTTGCGAAAATAATACGGTTAGTTCGTTAACGATGTCATTACGGTTCATTTACGATCTTACCAGAGAGATAAAATTATCAATGACAGTGACCAGAAATTGTTCAAATATGCTTAGACAGAAAATAACAACCAGACGCTTTCAGCACACAACAGCATAGGCTTCCCTTATCAGGTCGCGCCAAAATTTTGGCGCTTTGTGTAAACGTCACAAAACGTCACGACGTAGCTGTTAGTAAAATGTAATATTTATAAATATACATTTTTAACAAAAAGTCCGTTTTTTTTCTGTTGTTCTCGAACTAATTTGAATTTACATTTCGATTATAATTATAAAATACACTGTACAACAATAAACAACGATGCACTTTTATTATGCATTCTAGGACCCGGATTGTAATTGTCGCACGCTGTTGTACTTCCGTTTATTACAGCCCGCTTTTTCCAAAAGTATTCCTAAGTATAAGTTTATTAGTTTAAAGTATGTTTACCGTCGTCTGCTCACTTTAATGAGTGGTGTGTGATGTTTTAGTTGCAGGCGGAATGTCACGCCGCGTTCGCTGAAATTGGCAAACTTACGGAAGAGGAGACACTTTCAATTCTGAGTAGTGATATTGCTAGAGTTCACTGTGAAAACGACGAGGTCGAGTCAAAAATGAAGATGGAAAAGGAGGAGAAAATGGTGGGATTATGAGATGATGATGTTGTTTAGAGATCTGCTGGCCTGTAACCTTAACGCGTTCACAGCCCTATAAACGCGAGTGTGCATATATAAATAAACATCAGTGCGCAGGTGTCAACGCAGCCGCTGCCAACACAAGTTCTTCCACAGTGACGGAATCAATCATTTCTTTTTGAACCTTGCCTTATACACAGAGGCATTGTCATGTTAGAATAGAAAAGGGTTCTGTCCAAACTTGCTGTAAAATTATAAGAACACAATTCCCTAAAGTAGTCAAACCTGTTCATTAGAAGGGGGTGCCAATACTTTTGGCAATGTAGCGTATCAAATATAATTTGTGCTTAGCTGATACTGAGTTGTTTTTTTTAAGCCAACAGCGATAATTAAATTTAATAATAGCAAATACGAATAACGTTGGGATTAAAGGTATACTTGTTTTCCACAACATTTACTTGAAATCCACTGACAATGCTGTGAAAGTTTATGAAACTGACAAAAGGTGAAATGAAATGCCAATAATCTTGGCAAGCCACAAACCGCACACACTGTGCCTGATTGATCAACTGGTATATTGGTCCATTACAAGCCATTTGTGATTATTTGTTGTTTCAGAAGCTGTCTGCATCCTTCATGGAGGTACTGGGCAACGAGGCTCTTGGGGAAAATAATCAAACTTGTTGATGAAACCAAATTTTGTTGGATCTGGAGTGCAAAACATTTTCAGGCATGAGAGCAAAGCGGCCCGGCAGCATCTTGAATATTCTGTCTGTTGGAGGCAGGGCTGTGTCTAGCCAATTTGACGCCCTAGGCAAAATCCCTGTTCTATGTAACAATCCCTAGTGGCTAAGACATTGCACATAATTTACACAAATTAATTTTATTACACACCGGCGAAAAACCGTTCGGCTGCAGCATTTGCGGAAAAAGATTCAACATTGCTAAAAATCTTGCCAGGCACCAGCTCACGCACACAGGCGAAAAGGAGTTTCGATGTTCAGTCTGCCAGAAAAGTTTCACAGGGGCCATAACGCTAAAGACGCAACAACTAAAGACGCCACAGCCATATCGCCCTGCAGCCCAAGATTGGTCACCCACTGAAGCTAAGCAGGGTTGAGCCTGGTCAGTACTTGGATGGGAGACCTCCTGGGAAAACTAGGTTGCTGTTGGAAGAGGTGTAAGTGAGGCCAGCAGGGGGTGCTCACCCTGTGGTCTGTGTGGGTCCTAACGCCCCAGTATAGTGATGGGGACACTATACTGTCAAAAAAGCACCGTCTTTCGGATGAAACGTTAAACCAAGGTCCTGACTCTCTGTGGTCATTAAAAATCCCATGGCACTTCTCGTAAAGAGTAGGGGTGTAACCCCGGTGTCCTGGCCAAATTCCCTCCACTGGCCCTTGTCTATTATGGCCTTCTAATAATCCCCATCCACTTGATTGGCTCTATGACTCTCTCTCCTCTCCACCTGTAGCTGGTGTGTGGTGAGTGCACTGGCGCCGTTGTCCTGTGGCTGCCATCGCATCATCCAAGTAAATGCTGCACACTGGTGGTGGTTGAGGAGTGACCCTCCCACGTAATTGTAAAGCGCTTTGGGTGTACAACAATACACAATAAAGCGCTATGTAAATGCCACATTCATTCAGTCATTCAACTTATCCACACCGGTCAGAAAGGCGTTAGGACCCACACAGACCACAGGGTGAGCACCCCCTGCTGGCCTCACTTACACCTCTTCCAACAGCAACCTAGTTTTCCCAGGAGGTCTCCCATCCAAGTACTGACCAGGCTCAACCCTGCTTAGCTGCTTAGTCAATCTTAAAAACCACGAGCGCATCGGGTGAAAAACCTTTCAGCTGCAAGGAGTGTGGGAAGAGCTTTAGTCAGCAGAGTAGCCTCATTTCACACAGCCGCACTCACACTGGAGAAAAACCCTTCGGCTGCAATAACTGCGATAAGATACCGTCTAAAGCTGCACCAGAGGGTCCATACTGGTGAGAGGCCGTACAATTGTGAGGATTGTGGCAAGTGCTTCAGTCAAGGTAGTCACCTGCGTACTCACAAACGCCACGTTCATGGAGGAGGGAAGCAGTACATCTGCGATAAATGCGGAAAGAGATACGCAGATCCTCGGAATCTTAAATTGCACAAATGATATTATGCATAAATGTGGTGTTGTTCACATTCTGTATCAGTATCTGTAGAGATACTTTGAGCCCATTTTTTCTATGATAGATAAATTATTGGAGAATATTATCTGAAAATGAATGCAATAATGTTGAACTTATAATACTCACCTTCAGGACATCTAAGATGTAGATGTTTTTTTCTTCATCAGAACAGATGAAGAGAAATTACATCACACCTCTGCAGTGAATGGGTGCCGTCAGAATCACAACAACCTGCAAGTAATCCACACAAATCTAGTCCATCAGTTAAACAGCTTGTGAAATAACAAACTCATTTACATCTTGGATTGACTGAGGGTACATTTATTTTTGAAGATTTTCATTTTTGGGTGAACTTTTGAGTTGTGAAATGTACGTGTAATGGGGATTTCAAGTGGCCCCAACCCAAATGATGAATCTCAATTGCTGCGATAGTGATATTTTTCTTTACAAGCTTGTAACACTCCAAAGAGAAAGGAAAAATTTAAATCGCATCATATGACCCCTTTAAAATGTAACATCTAATGTTAAAATGTATGTTTTTATGTATGTAACCTTCTCCCTTTAAATACTTTGGCCAGTTCCAGAATAAGTTATGCAATTTTATATTATTGATTTGAAAGAATTAAAAGAGCAGTTTCATGTCTTATCCTTGTTTGGTTGATATGGGATTTAGAAAGTAATTGAGTAATGCAATACTTTGAGAAAGTAATTAGTTCAGTAATCTAATTACAATGTTGAAGATGTAATAAGCTGCACTGTAACTTACCCAGCACTGCCAAACAATAGGTAGCTGAAGATCATCATAGTAAGTTTAATGTAAAAAAGAGTATGTTTTTTCAGCAGAGGTACACAAACGCACATACTATATTTTCGATGTCATGTTTTGCATTTATAAAAAAGAAAAAAAAGGACTGTACCTTTTAAAATAACGTAATAATTAGCAACTGGCTTATTCATTCATTGATTTGTCAGAATAATTGTGTGTGTGTGTTTGTGTGTAGAGAGAACGCGAGATACATACGCATGCGCGCTACATTTACACTTCCGGGTTTGTCTTTAAGTGAAATGTAACATTTCGCTTGTGATGTATCTATGAAACTTGTTGCCCGGGCAGAGAATAAAAAGGTGCTTAGCTGTAATTAAAGCGACACGTTGTTTAAAGGCCAAAGAAAAGAGAAAAGTCTCTGCGAATGAGACTCGCTAGACTCGCTCTAATGGACTGATGTTGCAGTGTTGTGGCTTATGACCGGACGAACAGCAGCATGATGCGCCTGATGTTTCTAGCAGCCGCGGTGTTTCTCCTGTCCGCTCCTGCAAGCGCCTCTCAGGGGGACAAAGAGCCCGTCTATCGCGACTGCGTCAAACAATGCGTCCGGACCAACTGCACAGGGGCCCTACTGCGCGGATTCCAGTCCTCTCAGCCTCCATACATGGCACTCACTGGTACTGTACTAACCTATTTGTGTTAGTAACACTACTAACTTAGTAGAGTATTATGCAAATTGATTTTATTTCACAGCTGGCGGTAGAGAATATGTCATAATGTTATTATAAATTAAATTATTAGGAGAGCTAAACTATTTAATGACAAATTTTGATGTGCATAGGCTATTACACTCTTAAAAATGCTGGGTTAAATACAACCCAGTGCTGGGTAAAATAAGGACAAACCCAGCAATTGGGTTGTTTTGACCCAGTGGTTGGGTTACTACCCAGAAAGTTGGGTTAAACATTTAACCCAACCGCTGGGTCAAAACAGCCCAATTGCTGGGTTTGCCCCTATTTTACCCAGCACTGGGTTGTATTTAACCCAGCATTTTTTAGAGTGTATATTAATGAATATTTATACAAATTACGACAAAAATTGCACAGACCTGCGCACAAACTTTTTTGCTTATACATTGACATACATTGTAAAATAAAATAAAAAAATTGTTAACAAAATAATGTCGTCATAACAGTATTGTTTCTTGAAGTTATTATTCCTTAACTTTTATCATTATGATGGTATTGCCATTACTTTTTTGACATGTACTATAGTAATTCATTCCATGGTTTTGTTTGAAGCAGGCTGGAGTGCCATGCAAGTACCATGGTATATGAATACAGCAATCGCTTGATATGTCATGGTGTATATTCCATTTTATTACATCACCATGGTGCCATGGTACCATAACAGTACTTTTTGCATAATAATTAAAGCAACACTAAACAAAACCCAAGCCCTGCTGAAAAAAGTTCTGAAACAAAAAAATACAAAACAAACTTCTTATCTGACTTGGCTTGTCTGGTTGGATGGTTTTAGAGGGGGTTTGGGCACTTTTCAGATTTGGAGACCAGCTGGCCAACCCGCTAAACCAGCTGAACACCAGAGACGGGTTAAACTAGCTAGGACCAGCCAACCACTATAGGCTGGTGCTGTTTTCCCCCCCTCAGGAGAGCACAGAAAAAGCAGCCTATGGCTGGTTACCTGCTTGAAAGGAAACATACAGTATTTATACAACATTCCAGTCAACATGTGGACACACCTACTCATTCTCAGTAGTAGTAGTAGTATTTGCAGACATTTTAGAATAATAGTAATGTCATTAAATTAGCAAATTATAAATCCGACCTTCCGTCCTTTCTGAAAGTACTGTGTGCAGGTAAATCCATGATTTTGTAACCGTTCCAATCTCCTGTTCGCTCTAACAGCAGATGGTATTTTATGTTGCTGAGCAGTGTTCTCTTATGTCAGAGATTATCATTTGAATGTAGTGATTTTAGACCAAGAACCGATTGCTGGATGTTAGGGAGACAGAGCAGAGACCCCCAATACATGTTGCTTAAAATTGGGCTGTATTTAAAGCCTAGCCTGTAATATCATGTGCAGTGTCATATTGGTGTACATACTTTGTTATAAGGATTGCATTGCAAAACCATTAAAATAATCATTTGTACACTGTCATATACTTGTGCTCGACAATAAAACATTTAGCTGAACATTGTTAGTAGGGCTGTGCAATATATCGAAATATCGCAAATGTACATATCGCAATATACATATCGCTACAGCTTGCAATATTTGGGCCCATGAACAAAAGACAAAGAGAAAATCACCTAAATGACTTTTGTAGCTTAAATAAGAATCAGTGCATATTGAATTCAAAGAGTAAATACTACGCAGTGTTTTATTTGTCCTTTTTATTATTCAGTTCCTAAACTCATGTTAAAATGATTACACTAATGTTCAAATGACATTTTTATTTAATGCTTGAGTAAAACACTACCGTTCACTTTCAGAAGCTGTTGTAGGGGTGCTTTCTTATTAGAATCAGAATCAGAATGAGCTTTATTCACCACTTAAGTGTGCGCAAACACAAGGAATTTGTTATGGTTTTACAGGTTTTACATACAAATAACCATATATATATATATATATATATATATATATATAAGATTTGTAACAGGTTTGCTTGCAGAGTTGTAGCAAATAGCACAAGTGGCCTTAACATTAACTGGCTGTATTACATGTAACGAGCAGAATAGCTCAATTAAGATCATTAAACTCCAAAAAAAAAAAATTGTGTTTTGAGGTAATTGAGTGCTTTTTGCAGTGCAGAGGGAGCATTTGTGCATGGGATTGATTAAGAGAAAAGCTCTGACTAGGGAACTTCAAGCCTAAAAGTTAATAGAGGCTTATTACCAATGCAAGATAACAGAAATGTCAAATGAAGAACAAAACTAAACTACACAGCAGGCCAATATCGCAGACAATTATGCTTAATTAACTGAGAGAAGTATAAATCATGTTTAAGTATGATTAATCGTGCATCCCTAATAAGACAATATACATATACATATATATGGCATAAATAAAATAGTTAGGATTTTTTGCTATTTCTAGGTCACTATGTCACTAGATCTCTGTATATAAAAAAGTCTGAAAATGTATTAATTTAAATTTTAAAAGACTTATTTTATTACATTAATTTCTACATTTATATATGGCATAAATAAGAAAATAGTTATTAGGATATTTCACTATTTCTAGGCCACTAATCAAATTAGTGAAATCGATAATGTTGTACAGATGGTCACATACTCTTCGGAACATTCTGAAACCATGCTGAATCACATGATCATCAGTTTTGTTCATAGCATCTCCAGTGCTGTCATTGAAGCAAAAAGTTACAAACTACATACTAAGACTTTCAGCCGGCAGCCATATCACCCCGCAGCCCAAGACTGGTCGCCCACTGGAACTAAGCAGGGTTGAGCCTGGTCAGTACCTGGATGGGAGACCTCCTGGGAAAACTTCGCTTTGAGTGCTTGGAAAAGTGCTATATAAATGTAATTCAGTGTATATGTAGTTTGTGCTCAACCACATTTGCATCTCTCTGCAGGTTTCCCTGAATGCATGGTTCTGGTCTACAGTGTTTCACACGAGAGACACCTATTTAACAGAGGTAACCTTTCAAGAGATGATTCAGAGACAAATTCTAAACATTTTCTTGTGTAGTTCTTGGATTAAGAGGAATGATTGTCATGGCAAAAAAAAAAGTCAAATCAAAATTGCTGATAGAGATTTTCTATTTTTGTTTTATAGAAGATGGACTACTTCTGTGCATCAGCTGTCATTCTTTACTCGATCTACTTGTGCTGTGTCAGGTATGTGAACAGGAAATCCTCATAAATTGACCATATATAGTGCTTGTTAAACTTTTTGTTTATGGCGATTAGTATTTGTGTTTCAGGACGTTGGGCTTGCGTAGGCCTGCAATTTCCAGTATGGTGGGAGTTCTGCTCATTCTGGCCTTCACATCTCATGTGTCTTTTCTGACCTTTGTCAGTTTTGACTATGGGTACAACATGGCTGCCAATGCCACCATAGGTAAGTGTTGTGAATACAGCAGTGTGTTTACATACAGTACCTCTGATAAGCTGATAATGTGTAAGTTCATATCAAAATGCCCTAAATGTTGTTGTTGGGTTTTTTTATTACTTGGAAAATGGATTGTATTTACTTAATATTTTTTAATACTTGTATTTGATCATAATCAGTGTTTCTGGGTTTCTTATTGTGTAAATGATTAATCAGGATACGTTATTCCAAATAAAAACGGGATTGGTATTTCACAGTCTACTGCAAAATATTGAGGTCTGACTCTGGAGTTGAATTTCCTGATTTTCGCAATCCAGTCAAATCATCATGAATAAAATCAAGTCATGAGCTATATTTTTAATATCCTGTTTCATTCAGAAAAATATCACGTTACTGGACTAACATGAGTTTTGAATGCCGTTTCATATTGTCTTTAATTAAAGCATGATCAGTTTATTGATTACTGTAGATCTTTGCATGTGAACGCCTGCATCAGTTGTTTTGTCAGCTCTGTAGTATTTCTGACAATATTAGTCGTTTCAAAAAAAAAAAAAGTTTTATTATTTTTTTTTTATATTGTAATTAACTCCTGTTTGCAAAGCTGAATTTTCGTCAATGAAATCAGTGGAAAACCAGCTTCACATTATGTAACACTTAAACTAAAGGTTTAAAATAAAAACTGATACAATAATAGGCTACGTTAGGTATTATTTTCTCACCCATCTGTTATTCCCTCTGGTCTTGGTCTTCTCTGTTACAGGCATAATAAACCTGTTGTGGTGGTTGTGCTGGTGTTGGCTGAACCGCAGGATTTTGCCGTACTGGTGGAAGTGTGGGATGGTGGTGCTCTTACTGCATGGCCTTGCCCTGCTGGAGCTGCTGGATTTCCCTCCTCTCTTCTGGGTTGTCAGTTTTGACTATGGGTACAACATGGCTGCCAATGCCACCATAGGTAAGTGTTGTGAATACAGCAGTGTGTTTACATACAGTACCTCTGATAAGCTGATAATGTGTAAGTTCATATCAAAATGCCCTAAATGTTGTTGTTGGGTTTTTATTACTTGGAAAATGGATTGTATTTACTTAATATTTTTTAATACTTGTATTTTATCATAATCAGTGTTTCTGGGTTTCTTATTGTGTAAATGATTAATCAGTTATTCCAAATAAAAACGGGATTGGTATTTCACAGTCTACTGCAAAATATTGAGGTCTGACTCTGGAGTTGAATTTCCTGATTTTCGCAATCCAGTCAAATCATCATGAATAAAATCAAGTCATGAGCTATATTTTTAATATCCTGTTTCATTCAGAAAAATATCACGTTACTGGACTAACATGAGTTTTGAATGCCGTTTCATATTGACTTTAATTAAAGCATGATCAGTTTATTGATTACTGTAGATCTTTGCATGTGAACGCCTGCATCAGTTGTTTTGTCAGCTCTGTAGTATTTCTGACAATATTAGTCGTTTAAAAAAAAAAAAAAGTTTTATTATTTTTTTTTATTATTGTAATTAACTCCTGTTTGCAAAGCTGAATTTTCGTCAATGAAATCAGTGGAAAACCAGCTTCACATTATGTAACACTTAAACTAAAGGTTTAAAATCAAAACTGATACAATAATAGGCTACGTTAGGTATTATTTTCTCACCCATCTGTTATTCCCTCTGGTCTTGGTCTTCTCTGTTACAGGCATAATAAACCTGTTGTGGTGGTTGTGCTGGTGTTGGCTGAACCGCAGGATTTTGCCGTACTGGTGAGAACATACAAAATAATTTTTTACAGTGTATGTTTTCCTTGTTTTTTTCTTCCTTCTTGTAGTTTTCTCATAGATGACAGCCTTCACCTCCTTAACACAGAGAAGCCTGGAGTGAAACTGGACTAGGACGAAACCGTCTCAGAACCCCAACCCCTCCTCTGATATCCTTCCCATCAGGGCAAGTGCGAGCCGGACTGAGCCAGGCCTCAACCGCAGTGGCTTCCGGCACGTGTCCTGGGGCTGAAGTTTTGAATTTCATTGTTTTCTTTGTGTTTACACTTTCTTTTTACCATAACTTTATTTATTTTTGCATTTTACAGAAAGGGTTGTCGTTTGGGCTGGTTTTAAAGATGTGCCACTGATGTTTGCATTCACTTGAGTTTTGCCTTCAATTAAGAAGTAAATCAGCCTTTATCATCACAGCACTCTTTTAAAAAGGTGCACTGAATAATAACCATCTTTGCAGATGAATATCTTCACATAAGGTGTTCATATCTCCCACTCATATCCGTCTACATTTGTGGTGCTTGATTTAATGGCCCTGAAGTGAATATATCTCAGAGATAGAAATAGATTGAGCTTTATTTTTAAACATCCGTTCACTATAAGCGTGCTGAACATCAGGAGGGGTTATGAGTGAGTGTGTGCTCTGTTTCTGAGACGTGTGGCGGTTACCTCACTAGGGTGCAACACCAGTGGCTATCGGCAGAGGTGTTGATTAGCTTCCATATTGCGGGAAGTCACTGTTCTGTGAAATGAAAATTATGTTGAAAATTAACATAAGGAAAAGTTTAGTAGAACGTTCATATAATAAAAATAAAAGGTGACCATTGACCGACAAGCTTCAAAAATGACAAAAAGCACCTGAAAGAGGTTTATTCTTCCTCCTCCTCTTTCTGCCTACATCTCAGACTCTGAGCCTGGGGTACAAACACGCTCACTATCAATGTGAGAAAAAAAAGGAACTTTTGGCAATGCATGCCATTCTCTGGAATTTTCCCCAAGTCTATTGACTTTTGAGAAAAACAGCCACTGCAAGTAGAAATGTATTATTATTATTATTATTATTATTTATTAAATAATCATTTAGAGTTCACACAAAATTTTTATTTTGTTGATTTACTCACCTTCAGGCCTTCAATGGAAAAGATCTGGAGAAATTTAGCATTATATCACTTGCTCACCAATGGATCCTCTACAGTGAATGGGTGCCGTCAGAATGAGAATTCAAACAGCTGATAAACGTTGGCACCAATAGCCTCGTGGTTAGCGTGCCGGCATACAGTGCATCTGTGCTCACGGCTACCCATGATTCCCGTCTCGAGGGCCTTGTCCCACTCCCCTCTCTTCACCCAATTCTTTCCTGTCTGCTCTCTACTATCCTAACAAATAATGGCATGAAAAGGCCCAAAATTTAACTTTAAAAAAAGAGCTGAACCATCACAAAATGGACTGCAGGAGCAGGCACATCATAGATGAAATCGTGGCATTTTTACACAACACTGTATTTCTGTTTAAGTGATTCAATTCTTTGTTTTTGTCCTTCTGTTGGGAGTGTTAAAAAAGCTTACATTTGTACTTCTGTTGGAGTGCTTTAATAACTCTTTAAATGTATGCTTCTGTAGAAGAATTTTAATTCAATAAGCGTTAGGTGGTTATGAGTTCACAGTCAATTGCACAATCCACTAGTGTCTATTTTAATGAAGTTATTCTTTTAAATTCTGAAGATTTTCTATTGCAAATGATTATTTGAACACTGTTCTGTCCTGCTGTAGGAAATAGTATTTTGTAAGCACAGTAAAACATATGTGTCCCAATTTACCTAAAAAGGCCTGAAGAAAAAAAAGGGTGCTTAACATTTTTGAATCTCTGTATGTTTAAAGCAACAACCAATATCCTTTCAAAAATAAATAAATAAATAAAAATAGAACGAGATAAATAGCATAAATTACAGCATAAATAGTGTTAGTAGAATAGATTTATTTGTATTAAATACAGTTTACCAAAAGTGTCCCAATTTTGCTGACTTCACCTGAACATTCATTTAAACAATTATAGTTTTTTCCTTCTATATTTCTACTTCTGTAGATACTGCAGTATTTAATTTTCTGTTTTTTATATTAGTAGCTATTATAGGCCTATTCCATTTCTACTGTGTTATTCCTGTATGTTTGCACTATGTCCGTGCTTTCTTCTGCACGAAGCTCCTGTCGTCAAGTCAAATTCCTTGTGTGTGGAAGCATACTCGGTAAAAATCTCTTTCTGATTTTGATTTTGATTCTGATTCAGTGAGGACCGGTGTTGGGGGTAACGCGTTACAAGTAACGCGAGTTACGTAATCAGATTACTTTTTTTCAAGTAACTAGTAAAGTAACGCATTACTTCTTAATTTACAAGAGAATATCTGAGTTACTTTTTCAAATAAGTAACGCAAGTTACTTTTTTTCCCAATTTATTGATTGACAGCTCTCCTGTCCCCATGCTGAGAGAAATCAGAAGATGTCTCTGTAGTTCTAAAATTAATATGAATATGCATTAATTCATCTCACT